CCCCTCGTGCGTATTCAGTGGGATCGCCACGGAGCTACCTGGGAGGAGGAGTCTGACATTCGCGCCCGTTTTCCAGATTTTAAGTTCTGATGTACATATTTCTTTATCTTATGTACACACTTCATGTATATCAGCTATGTTTTGAATTTCCGAGGACGGAAATTTTTTAAGGAGGGAGGATTGTAATATCCCGATATTTTATCGGTATAAATTATGTTTAGTTCCGATATAATAAATGTTATCAAATTATTATCGTCGGAATTAATTATTTTCAGTCGGGATTACCGAAATTTAATTTTGACGTACTGTTTACGTTCGGAATAATTTTGGTAATTAAGTATTGTGTTTAATTGAATAATTAAACATAAACTAAGTGATTAATGTTAATTAATCACAATTAATTGTTTTAAGTCGTGACAAAATTTCAAAATGTCGTGACCTTAGTCCAAATTCCCGTACGGATTTTACTTTGTAAATTATGTAAGGATTCTTCATGTTAAAGGAAGGACACGTGCCTTGGTGGGAGGCTTAGGAGGGGGATGAATCATCCTTAAAGTGTTTAATTAACTCCAAGTGTATGCTTAAGAAAAGGGCCACGCCTTGGCTACATCATCCCCCATCCCTACGGCCATCTATATAAAGAGGTACTTAGGTAAATTTTCCCTCAATTTCCTTATAAGTTTGATCAGCATATAATATTCCCCCCCCTTCAGCAGCCTTTAAAGTTAAACAATCTCCCTATTTTTCCCATCAAATCACACGGCATAGAAGAACTATCGCACGACGCACTCGAGGTGAAGAGAGCACGCCCTATTTTCCGATTTCGGTCGAACAATCCGAGAGGTAATTCCTTACTCATGTTATAATCTTGTCAGTAAGGTCAATTTAAGGTTAAGTGTTCGATCGATTTTCGAGAATTTCAAGTAAAATCATGCTTATAGCCGTACACGCTTAAGTAAAGTCATGACCGAGTTATTTTCGATTTCTTCCAGCAACTCTCGAACCATTAACGTTTAAATGTTCAGTTAGCTTACTTCATGTTCAGTATAATCAGTTTTGTCGAGGCAAAATGAGGTATTGTTGAAGAAGTGGCCCCGGGCCGTCGCCAGCGCCTATCGCGCATGGCCACGGGCGACCGCAGTCCGTGACTTAGTGAATTCAGTAAGAAATCATGTTTGTCCGTGTGATTAGGTATTAAATTGCTGATCATGTTGAGTTGTTCTGAAGTTGCCGGATAATAAGGTGGATTGGCCGAGAGACGGCGTATAGCCGTCGGCGGCGCACGGCGCGCCCGCCGCGGCCCTTTCACGTTGAGCGTGCAACGGTTGTATTTTCAGGTCATTATATTCATGTTAAGTCAGGTTGTGTTCAGTGATGTTATGTTGGTCGAAATATTGTTAAGGTTGGTCGAGGACTTGGCCGAAGGCCGTAGGCCTCGCACGTAGCGAGCGCCACGGCCGGGTGTTAGGTCTGGTAAGCAAGTTTAGTCATTTCTTGTAAAATTCGGTATAATGTTCACGTTAGCTCAGAACAGGTCAAGGGAAGTCAGTTTGGTCGTAGAATTTCGCCGGACGGCCGGCAAGGGCCGGCCGTGGGCGCGCTGCCGCACGCAGCGGCAGCAGCGCATCGG